TATAATATTGATTGAAAATTTAAACATGTAAATTTTAATTTTATGAAAATAAAAATTTAATTGATTTTTTAAATAGATATTTAAAATAGTTTCTCTCTATAAAATAATTTTAATATTAGAAGTACATTAATGGTTGTCTTTTTTTGTAATTTGACTCTTAAAAGTACTTTTAAAAAAAAATTAGTCAAACGTAATTTGCTTATGAAAAATAATTTTCAAACAAATTAGCCAAGTTTTTTTTTTGCTAAAGCACTTTTTTAAAAAGTCATTTTAAAAAAAAAAATGTAAAATAAGTTATTTTTAGGAGCAATGTAAAATAAGCTCTAAGTAATTAATGCTGGGAGTTAAAATATGGAAAAACTATAGCTGTCTTTTTTTGTGCTAGGTTTAAAAGTGTCAAATTTTAATACTAAGCCTTAATAAAATAAATAATTTAAGTCCTTTAGTTTTAAAAAATAATTAAGCCCCCTTTCCTGCAACTCTCTCCTGTGCTCTAGTCCAGAGCTAACAGTATTTGAAGCCCTTTAAAAAAAATAAAAAATTACGTCCAATATTCGATATTCATATTTAAAATTTGATTAATCTAATTTCATGCATTGGTTGATTCATTTTTAGGGATAATACTTTCATTTCTAAAGTAGTTAATTATATTGAAGGCTTGGAGGGTGTTCAAAAAAAGTGGAAAAAATTAACAGTGTTGCTAGTGAGTCTCAAACATATGAGCATTCTAAGTATTGATACTTTGAAGACGTCTAAAATTACTGGGTTACAACACCTTGTTTGATCAAGATTATCTAAATTATGTTATTTAATCACTTCATATATCATTTTATTTATATATACGATATTATTTTTCGACGAAGGGTATCCAATTGGACGCTAGACTATAACATAGCTATGCCCCTGCTTGTGAGACCGACACGTAATAAGTACTGTTTTATCTATTGTAAGAAAAAGGATAAAAATGATAACGACAGAAGAAAGAAAAAGAAGTTGTGGAAATATATGAAAAATAATTTTATGATTGTAGACTTGCCACTTGGTGTATTGTGGCAGATGGTCTTCCTGCGTTGAATGGGCCGGTTAGTCAGGGCCCAGTAGTCGGTGCCTGTCACAGAATGGTGGCCCACGACTCACTATTTTGGGCCCAAAAAGAGTTGGCTTCCTCCCCCACCTTGCTTCAAAAAAATAAAAATAAAAAAATAAATAAAAACTGAGAAATATTCAAAAATAGCAAAGATAATAGACATAATAAAACTCTATAGCTATAGTTTTGGTAATAACATTTCATATTTATAGTTTTGTTTGCAATGGAGGCTGCAGTTTGTTTGTTTCGCTTGCAAATATATAAGCAGGACAAGTACATACAAATAGAGGTTGCGGTCTGTATATTTCGCTTGCGAATATACAAACAGAGTAAATATATACAAATTTTATATTTATACTTCTAAAATATTTTCAGAACTCCGTTTGTATATTTCGCTTGTCAATCAACAAACAGAGTAATTTATTATGTTTTTCTCATAAATCGTATACAAAATGGATAGGGTAAGCATATACAAATTCAGGATTTATATAATCACGAATCGAATTATACAAATTCATGATTTATACAATCAGAGACCGAATTATACAAATTCTAGATTTATACTATGAGGAAACCGAATAGCAAATTTCGTAAAACTATAGCCACATATTAAAAATAATTGAAATTATAGCTATATTACATAATATATTCTAGATATTTTTCATTTCGTGTAAGTTTCCAATAAAATTTCACAAAGTTGCAGAAAATTAGTTGTGGTGGTCCACGCCTGACTAGTTATTTATTGATCTATTTTTAATAAAATAAAATAAATTAAATACATGTTTTTTTTTATTTTATCTCAATAGTAATACAATTGAAATATCATAAGTTTTATAAATTTTATAACATAAATATTATAATATATTTATATAGCACAAATTTTAAATATACTTTTTTCTTTTAAAATTGTGTATAGTCAAACTATATTATATATATTGAAACAAAAGGTGTATAATCATTTTGTTTTTTTATCTTGTGCTTGACGAAATAAAAGTTATAACGTTGTTTAAGTAACAAAACATTTTTAGCATATAAAAAATACATTGCACCAAACATTAGAGGGAAATGAGATCTCAACCACTTACAAATTAAATATAAGAAAATAACCCATTTTAAAAATAGATTTTTTAAGTGTAAAATCAATATTTCTCATTAAAAAATCATAAATTTAAATAATAATAATAAATAAATAAATACCTAAAAAATTGTTTTTTTCCTTTGATACGTTCTTACTTCTTACAAATTACTCTTAACTTCCAAATAACTTCCAATATTCTAAATACGTTGTACGTTAAAGAACATTAACAATTACATTTAAAAGTTCGACAATTATGGACATTTGGCAATTACTCTTTGAAAAAGCATCTACATGTGCCTTCTTAAGCCTTCTCATGTCCATATTAACTACTCCCTCCGTCCAACAATATTTGTCCACTATATTAAAACTAGATGTCCAATAATACTTGTCCACTTTATGAAATCTATGGATTATTTTACTCTTAATTTCTAATTTATCCATTAATTATAGTCATTATCTAACATTTTCAAGACATTGTATTATTATTCAAAAGGTCACATAGAAAAACTAACCTTCTATTTATAGTTTCTTAAATTGTGTGTCAAGTCAATAGTGAACAACTAATATTGGACAGAGGGAGTAGTATTTTTATTAATTTGAAATAAAATATGTTTCACATAATTAAGAAAATATTAATTATTATTTTTCCTATTTAGAAAAGTGGGTTTTTATATACCTAAAAAATTACGTGTACAATTTAGTTTAACATAAGTTAATAAAAACATTTTTTACTATCTAAAAGTAAAAAAATTCTTTAAAAATGTATCTAATCTGAAAAAAACATCACCTAATATGGATCGAAAAAGTATTAATATTCTTAACTTTAAAGTATTAATACTCCCTCCGTCCCTTTTTAGTTGTCCACTTTAGAAATGGCACACAGATTAAGGCAACAATGATTAGCACAGTGAAGTTACAATTTTACCCTTATGACAACTTTTCACTTCAAAATTACAACCACTTATTTGAATTCAAGTGAAATAAATTGGAGGGAAACAATATACACTTTTACAATTTTCAAGAAGTGTAAATAAGGGTATAATAGGAAAAAATTTGTTGTCCTTTCTTGATTTGTCAAAATGGACAACTAAATAGGGACAACTAAAAAAGGAAATATGGACAAGTAAATAGGGACGGAGGGAGTATCATTTAAAGTTGACCCTAGCGTCAAACCCCATTGTGAACATTTTACTTTTTTATGTTCTCTTCCTTTAGTTTCAGGATCAATCTTTTATCTTTTTTTTATAAAAAAAAAAAACGTACAAAAAAAGCAGATTTAAACCCTAAAAAATCCAAACGTGCTAAAAGACCTCAACCACTTCCTTGAAATTGTATTTTATTGGCTTATCACATTTACACTTTTATTTTCGAACCCATGAATGAAAACCTGAATCCACCGACCACCACTAATTATTGAAAATCACTTTCTCATTAAATTAAAGTCCTTTTTTTTATTTTATCATTCGTTGTCTTTAAACTCAATTAAGTTTAGATTCATACCAACAAACCTCACATTGACATACAAAATGCTTTTTAACAAATACAATTTATTAAAATTAAAAAATTAATTATCACTTCAGCAGGATCTTTGATGAAGTTAACTTGGAAGTTATTTTGACAGTAAATTTGAGCCATAAATGGAGAATATTCTCGCAACTCAAGTTGTGTGAGTAGTTCTGTAGTTTCCTCCAATTATTGGGGAAACATTGAACGGTCATGTGATTGCGTGTCAGACTTTGAGCGCCCCTAAAATCTACTGACAAGTGACGAAAATTCAACGCCACTCTTTTCGTCATTGTTCCAAACACTCCGTGTCAGTGAACATTATACTTTATTAAAAAGAAAAGATTTTCTCAAAATAATAATTGAGAATTTATCATTTTACCTTTATTATTTATGAACGGAATGAATTAAAAATTTCAGATTTTCAAGATGTTTTGAATTTTTCAAAATTAATTAATTGAGGATATAATTGGTAATTATTTTTGTCATTTCTTGATTTGTCAAAATGGATAAGTAAAAAAGAAAAATTAGACAAGTAATTAGAAAGACAGAGAAAATAGTTGTTACATATTAGTTACTATCCATTTTACTAAATCAAGAAAGTATTAATTAATTTTTTTCTATATTATTCTTACAATAAATTCTTCTTGGGTTCATATTTATTTGTAAGATTCCCAAAAAAAAATTTAAGAGGTGAAGTAGTAAAATTATTTTTTTATTTATGATTTCTCAAACACAGTACAAAATAAAAAAAATCAATTAATATAGAACTGAAGAAGTACTTCCCCATTTCCTTTATACTTGTCTTTAAAAAAAAGGTAACTAAAGAGTAATTTAATTTATGACCCTGGTAAGAAAACAAAATTGCTTCAAAACTATGTTAATAAAAGAGTATAGCTTTAATTTTTGCCAAATAAATGGGATAAATAACATAGATTGCCGGTAAATATTTATTAAATAAAAAAAATATTTTTATAAATACTCATGAAAAATTAAAGCGAAAATTATGAGAGAATTGTCTAGCTAAATAAAAAAACAAAAAGAAGTCGTTATGTGCCTACACATTTGGTAACGCGCCATAATTGACATAAACTCATAACGCGTCTATGCCACTGCTCTCATGTCGCGTGGATTTACCTTATGTAATTGCCTTCGTAGAGTCCATAAACTTTGGAAGTTCTTCCGATTCGCTTTGACAATTTTGAAAAGTCGAACCGACTTTCCTTTTACCTTCACCCTCAAATTTCACTAAAATCACTAGTTTGCCATCCTTTTCACCTCCTATATAAACCTCTCCTCCTTCCTTTCTTAGGTTTGCAGAAATTTATTCAGTGAACAAGTTCTGTAAAACAATGGAGTCGTTATCGTCCAAAAACAAATTGCACCATAATTATCAACGATCCGTTTCACCATCGGGTCGGTTCTGTTCTTCCACTATATCTTCCTCCACCTTCTCTACTCAAACCTCCGATTGGTTAACCCGATCCACCTCTCCAACCCGAGTTAATCTCCGTCGATCAGTATCCCCTTCCCCGTCTGTACGATTTTCCAGCTCTCCTAACCGTTCAATTTCAGTTTTCCCTCGTAAGCCGCAGCAGAATAGTCATCCATTACCTTCCGCTTCCAATCAGAAGAAGCACTGCACGTGTTCGCCGACGACACATCCAGGTTCATTCCGTTGTAGCCTTCACAAACATACTCCTAATCGGAGTCGCGGTCAATCGTATTACTCGAGTCATCAATTGAATATGAGGAGATCAGCGATGACGAATTCGCTTGTTCGAATTGGAACTGTGGAAGGTGAATTGGTGAAGAGAGCACTTGCTGCTTTGATTCGACCGTCTTCTCATCAACTCAGGCGTAGATGTGATTTTCAGCCTAAGCCTAGTAGGCTCTCCGTCATGTCAAAGGCCGAAGTTTAGACTTGTGATGTACAGTTACTGTAGACTAGTTGGGTTGATTTGCCCCTTTTTTGTTCTTGTTACTTACAGAACCATAATTTTGTACTATTCGATTGAATGTGAATAGGAAACAAATTTAGTATATATACTTATGTATATAAATATAGTAGTTTAATTTTGGACTAGTAGAATGAGGGTAGCATATCACAGTTTTATCAATTTTAAGTGTAATTGCTCAGGTGCCATTAATTAAGTGCTAGTTTTTCTTTTTGGAGCTTTTTAAAGTCTGAACAAATTGAGATTGGTGGGTTGGTTGAACTTATGAAGGGTAGATGCAACTGTTACTGACTCCACTGATTCAAGTATGTTTTGTTACAACTAAGGGGAGGATTAATTAGTAAATATTTGTTTAGTTTTTTCTTGTTTAATTATCAGGGGTTGTAACAACTTTGATCTCCCTGAAGTGATCATGAACCTGAAAGTCAAATATGTTAGGTGATCCAAAGTCGCAATTTCAGTCCGGTAAAAAGGAGTGCATTTAATTCATATTTAGTTAAATAGATCACTCATATATTTTCTTATTGATTAATCAACAAATGAAACAAGGAAGCCATGCATGATTGGGCATCAGAAGAAATTAAACAAGCATAAGAAATGTATTTGAGAGAATGAGAACCAGCTTGTTCTTCACAGACAAAGCTCGCATTACACCTCTTCTCCATCGAAGTGAGTTGGAACAAGTAAGATAAATATGTGCTGATGAGGACAGGGAAGTAATCGAGGGACTTGAGAAGCTTCGCAATATAGAGTGTGACTGTGAGAGATTAACAAATCAAATCAGAAACGGGAAAACAGAGCCAAACTAATAAAACTATTTTCTATGAAAGATGAGCTGATTTAAACATTGCTATCGCTTTGCCAAAAGATACTAAGTAGGCGTTTGGCCATGCGATATCATATCACGATATGGTGTCGTGAGATGAAATCAGCGTTTGGACATGCGATTTTATGCTGATTTCATCTCATGATTCCATATCATGAGAGGTGATATCATATTCTCCAAAAACCATGATATGGAATCACCATGTAATTTCATATCATGATTTGAGATATTTTAATATAATAATTGATCCATGAGTTTATATTTTGTTAAAACAACCCCACATTTATATCTACTAACCATTTGTTTCATATGTAAATAAAATTTATAATCACATCATTACTTTTTAAAATTTATTATTTTCACCAATATAAAACTTATTATCACTTTAAATTTGGTGAATATAAATGATAAAGTAGAAATTCATTTGGTGAATATAAATGAGAACAAAGGGAGTAATATTTTTTTGATTTTTCATAATTAAAAAAAACGTCTTAATCTTATGACTAAGCATAATATTGATAAAAGACAATTTTCATTGGCGGTGCCGCACTTTCTTAATCTTAGTATTTGCAAAATGTTCGTTCACATGACTGAAGGATATCAAGTCCAATTGATTGAGGACTTAGGAAAATTTGATCAATTAGTTATTAATATTTAGTCAAGTGGACTAGTTATAATTTTTTTGATTAAATTTTATTAGACGTGTTTTTGACTCAAACTTGTGGTAACTTTTTAAAATTTCGTTATTCAATAATATTTAACTATTGATTTTTCTTGTAAATAGTTAGAAGTTAGTGATGTTTGTTAATTTTTATCTTAGTGCATTTAACTTTTAAGTTAATATTTACTCACTAATGTATGTTTTTTTTTCTACTTTATAGGTTATTTATAAGAGTAGTTGAGAGATATGAACATATCAAGTACAATTTATGTTCAATTTTTTTAATTAAATTAAAGTTAGATGAAACAATTATTTAACTGAAGAACAAATAACTTTGTAATAATTTATTATGCGATTTTATAATTTTTGTTTATTTGATAAGATTGAATAAACAATTGGGGCTATTTTAATAGTTTTACAACTTATGGATTTTTATGTTTATGAGAAAATATACAATACAAAAATTCCATATCGCATGTCCAAACAAACCTTCAATTTCATCTCATGATCCATATCATGATACCATATCATGATTTCATATCATGATACCATATCGCATGGCCAAACGGGCCCTAAGAAAGTCTTCCAGCTGAAAAAGGGAAGGACTTGTGTGGCGTTTGTTTGTTTGTTTTTACGTATACTAGCTTATTCTACACGCTGATTTTTTTCTTTTGGTTCATTATCAAAGCAAAAGACAAAAAAACATGTGGTTGGGCTTTTGCCAAGCATGTGGTTGGGCCAGCTCTTATTTCAACAAGATGGTACCAAAGCACAAAACAAGAACATAGGATTCAGTGTGTGATAAAATTGGGCTTTTGCCAAGCATGTGGTTGGGCCGGCTCCTTGTTTCAACAAGATGGTACCAAAGCCCAAAAAAGAGATATCAGTTGCTTCATGTGGCAAGGAAATTAAAAGGAAAAAGGGTAAATATATCTTCAACTTTTAGATTTAGAGCAGATATATCATTAAAAAGTGGTGTATATATACCCGTCATCCAACAAATGGTGCAAGTAGAGATCTAGATTAAAGAGTTCAATGGAACATACTCAATTAGTAGTGCAGAGCGCGGAGCCATTTTGTTACGCGTTCAACAGAACTCAATAATTTTAGCTCAAATTCTATATTTAGTTAGCAAAAATATGAACCAGAACTCATAAACTAAAAATCTTGACTCTACCTCTGCACTCTCCGGCTCGTAAACACAACTCTAGTAGGAGTTTCTTGTTAATTAGCAGTTGACAGCTTTGTATTCCTCTTCAACATAGCTGCCTTCCATCTTGTACTGTAATTTCTCAACGGAGCAACGGCAAAATTACAACTAATTGAATCTGGTCGACAAGTCCACATTTTTAAGCGCTTAGCAACAAGTTTATTTGCTTGCTTTATGGCTACTATTAACCATAACATATGGTTTCTTGAACTTGTAGTACTCTTCTTCTGATCCCTCTTAGCAAGCTTAAGTATTTTTTGCCTATGTTTGGCTACAAAAATGCCCATGCTCTGCAGAAATTCGTCGTCAAAATAAGCTATATCATCTTGTACAAGCTCATTGTGTGTAAAAGTAAGGGCATATTCATAAACAAGAGAAGGTTCAAGGCTAGTTTTGGAGAGCCATGAACACCACTCCATGGCCAAAATGTAGCAGTTATAAATGTTGGAGAAACAAATAAAAGATAAGTCCTGTTTATTTTCTTTTCGTGTTTGATATCTTATCGACAACTTTTCACTTTAAAAGGTAAGCTACCAAAGACTATATCATTAATTTTCGGAATTTAAATTCGAGATCTCAAAATCTCTAATAAAAATGACGGCGTATTTGTCGCTCATTATAATATTTGATGGTATAAGTCTTGGTTTATTAATTGAATGGTAGGTGAACTTTGAGGGTCATTTGATAGTGAGATAAGGATATATAATCGTGTCCGATAAAATTTTGGAATTAACTTTATCATATATTTGGTTTGAACTTTGAAGTATTAATTAGCTAATTTCATGATTATTACTGAAATGGTAGAATTATTAAATTACTATTTCATATAGAAGGTGAAATAAAATAATCTCATGAGATATCTTTACTTATCTCATCTCGCATACTAAACAATCTCTGAGAGTGATAAGGAGGAAATGTGTTCTTGAGTGTATGTGAACAAAGTCTTACATATAAGAAAATTGTGAAAATTGTGCGAGTTTGATCAAAACAGACAATATAATTTTTTTTTTGTCTTTGCCATCAGTCACGGCTTAGAAGAGGGGTTTGTTATGGACTTCTTGGTCACTCTAGCATAGATTTTTCTTCCACAACTGTTGTCCTTTTCTAGATAAAACAAAGGGATACGTTTTAAACAAATAAGAATTATTGTATATATATGTCCACACAAGGGGTTTAGTGAGTGAAGTCTAAAGATACTTATATCAAACCAAACAATTTAATTTTGATAGTTAAAATTTAATAGTATACTATTTTTATAGGTACGTGAATGATTTGATGAACTAAAAGATGATCAAATTACTCTACTATCTTTTTCCTTACGCGTATAAATAGAATGCTGCAATTTGTTTGACAAAGAACAAGGCCAGTTCATTAGTTAAGAAACAAGAAAAGAAATTCATGACTTTTAATAAGCAAATTAATCATCAACTCAACATTGACAACAACATACCTAATATAATGTTACAGGTTGGATTTAGAGAATGTAAAGTAAACACAAATTTTATTTCTATCTTGTAAGATAGGAAAATTGTTTCTGATAATAAGATAAACGGATTAAAAGAAATAATAATTTTACTAGATCGAGGTCTAAAAATAAGCAAACCTAAGAAGTGTTAATCACAGATCAATTACAATCTATATCTACCATATATGCAACTTTAATTATAGTTGATTGATTAGAAGATATGTTACATAGTATTGGCCTAGAATAAAAATATTAGATTTGCGCTCTTAGTGGATCTTGCATAAAGAATTGCAGAAGTATTATAAACCTTACAGTTCCATTTTCTTTTATTGACTTTGATGCAGTAGAGTAAAATTTGAATGCCTATTCATAATTATTTACTGTTACAATATTTTTTCACATTAGTTTTCTTTTTATTATAACTATGTAACGGATAAATTGAAGAGCAAAATTGGGAAAATGACAAAAGATGGTTCATCATCTTTGATAGTAGATTAAAAGTAGTTGTTTAAGTATCAATTGAATAATTTTGATCTTTTAAATTTATCGAAAGTGCGTATTTTTAATCTCCATCAAATATTACCAAACTCTAATTTGTTAAATTTCACCAGAATTATAAAATAAACCGAGAAATTTTTATCAAATTCTCAACCCCTAATATAAAACACTACATCAAATACAAAAGTAAATAGTAAATAATAGAGATTACATCTCAAAAGGTTACATCCAACTCTTAAAACAAACCAAACATAACATAAACTACAAAATTAGTACTTCTCAAATGTGAATTCCTACTAAGTATTTTCTATTTTCATAGTTTTGACAAATATTCCTATACTATGACCGAAATTGTAGAGGCACACCTTAATTAAACTAAGTTTCTATTACCCCGAACTCATTCTTTTTTTGTAATTTTGTACACCTT